CAAGTGACTGACTGCTTCGTGACAAGCTCGGGGGGTGGCATGTACATGACACAGGTTTTACAGGCGCTGCTCCTCGCTGCTATGCCCTGACTGATGTGCTGGCCTGGCTGGTTTGGAGCTGGGCGGTCAGGTTTGCACATGCGAGCCAGCTAGAGGATGGTGTTCGGATGAAGGTGTCACCAGGGCCTGCTCTTTCCCTGCAGGGCAGCGGTTCCCAAACTGCGGGTCGTGTCCCCAAATGGGGTCGCATCAGCGGATGACCCCAGTACTCTTTCCTGCCATGGCAGGGGGTCAGACTTGATGATCTGCTCAGGTCCCTTCCGACCCGAGAAACTATGAAACTACGGGGTCACGGGGTTGGGAGTGAAGGGCCACGCTGAGGAAGCGGGGTCATGCTGCAGACAAGGTTGGGAAGCGCTGCCCTGAACTGGGGTCACGGTTTGCAGGAAGAGCACAAGGAAGCTGCGTGCTGCCACCACTGCCCGTCTCTCCCTTTCACCGGGCCCGAGTCCTGCAATGTCCTCGTGTCCCGTTTGTCTTGGGACACTGCTCCCAAAGCCACCGTCCTGGCCCGTTCTGCGCTCGGGCGGCAGACTGCGAGGGACTCGTGCGTGGAGTGGGAGCACGTTACCTGCAGCTCTTTGGGCAGCCCGTGCTGCTCAGGTGTGGTGGACGGACGCTCTCGGCGCCGGGTGCTTGGTGGGTCGATCGGTATGCCCTCCATGGACCTGTTAGACCTGCTGCCCCTCTGGATTAGGCCCAGCGCTCGTCCTGCAGGGCCAAGGAGGTCCCACTGGTTTCTTCTTTCCCGTGCTTGTCCCATGCCTTTTCTCTCAGTTCCTCTATCTTGTTAACAGCTAAGTTATAAAATCCCACCCTTTGGTCTCTTCTCCGCACGCCGCCACCGCCCCGGAGCTAGCGCGTTATTGCAGCTTCTCGTGTTTCCCACCTTGCTGGACACCTTTTGACTCGCTGTGCAGATGCAGCCCCCACGGGACATTAAACCTCGGTTCTTCTTGACGAAAGCTAATGCCATCTGGGGGTGGAGGATGCCTGTGCCCACGTAGGTGTGATGGTGCGAGCCTTTTCGTGCACGTAGGACGCCTTCCTGCAAACCACTCTGGAATGGGAGTTATTTCTAAAGTAGCAACGTAACCGCGCAGCACGCGGTCACGTTTTGGGGCTTTTCATCATTTGCTCTTCTGCTGTTTTAGGTCGTGTTTGCCTTCTCGTTGCACTGTACGCGGGAGCACGGAAACGGGGTGAGTTTGGCAGGGGCACAGGCGCCAGACAGTCACATTTCCCGGCCCGCTTGGAAATGCCTGTCCAGGTACGTGAACGGGGGGGCAGCCGCCAGGGGGCGCCGGCTGCCGGCGGGGG